GTTGCCCTCCCTGAGCTCCCCCTGGAAAAAAAACCTGTAGTCCCCAGGCTGCTCTTTTTTTTTTTTTTTTTTAGCAAATGTTAGGCTTTTCTCAATATCTGACCCAATTACAGCACCTAAGTAATTCAGTTACTAGCTACATGTCTCCTGGTGGCTTCTTTCACAATCAGTCCATCTCATGGTGTTAGAGTCATGTGCATGCAGTAAAAAGATGTCACAGCCAGAGCTTCACCAGCCTGAGCTTTGGACTTAAGAATAAGTTAGTTTTAAGGAGATGCATTCTTGAAATGGTAAAATAAAATCAGGTAATGATTTGTTACTTCTCTACTGGAAGAAATTCTAGTACCAGGTTGCTCATCCTGTGCAAAATTTTATGGAAAAAATACAAAAGGAGGAGTATTTTCCCTGTAGTACCTGCTGCCTGTTAGCGTATGTCACCTCCTGTCTTTTATCATAAGAGCTACAGGAAAACATATAAGAGAATTACAGACTCCTTGTTTTATGTACTATGTATTTATGCACTATTAAATTTGCTTCAGGTAAGAAAGCACTTTTCCTCTGAATTAAAACAGAACTGCAGGATTGTTCATTGTATGGTGACAAAAGTCTGTGAAGAGTAATTGCAGAAACCTCCAAAGAGAAAGATTTAATAATTAATATATTATCCAGTTTAACTACTATTTTTTGGATTTTAATCACCCAAGCTGTGTCAATAGAGGCTTTTTATTGCATTTTGTTAATTATGAGTTCCCAAAATAGGAACTTCTTTCCTAACTCATGATATGATACTAGTTTTGAAATAGTGTTGCAGCTTCTGTTTGCAGAAACTAGAATGAATGCATCCCCCTTTGGGGATATCATAACAATGTCATCAAGAGGTAATCCTTCAACACTGAGAGGAAAAAAAAGCTTGAGCAGAATCCCTCCTGCTCAGTCTGCACAAAAGCAATGATTTAATAATGTTTTGTGGTGGAACAAGAGGAGAAACTCTTCAGCTAATGCTTCACATAAATGTGTTTTCCTCCTGTACCTTGCTGGTTCTGTGAACCATCTGCAAATAGCTTTAATCATGAGTGAGTCAGACTCAGCTTTTAATGCCATATGCAGAACCCTTCCTTTACTGGCTGCTTGGAGTACTGTTAGATTTTTTAAATTGTATTTATTTATTTATTTTTTAATCCAGAACTGTGTGCTACTATAATTGCTTCAGTTTAACATTGTAAAAGCCTTACCATCTGGCCTTTCAGCAAAGCGACATATTCCATCTACCCAAGCCTCACAGGTTTTTGCAAAGTACTTATGCCCATACATTTCTTCCAGTGGTTTCCTGACCTTTTCACTCCATTTTGAAACATCTCGGATGCCTACAAAAAATAACATTGAAATATGTTATTTTCAGCAACAAGATACAAGCCAGTAGTGTCAATGTCAAAGTTCAAGTTTCAAACCAGACAGCAGATATGTACACTTCACAATGCACTGAATGGTTTAAAATAATTCTTAGCATGATATAAAAAAGGTAGTTCTATGATCTTTGCTGGGGTCTTTCTGAGTTGCAGAAGACTATCTTTTTATTAGAGTCACAAGGAAAAATAGAATAAAAATAATAATCCAAGGACCCAGTCCTAAAACTTTTGATTTCATTTTGGAGGGCTTGCAGAAGAGGAGCTCACTGTATATAAAAAGAGGACTGTTTGAAAACGGTGTGCCAGAGCTGGCAATTTTTTTTTTTTAAATCCTTCAGCCTTCTGCTTTGGCTCATGGATGGAAGTTCTTCCATGGCCACTACCAGCCTTCAGAGGAAGGAAGCTCTTACTAAGGCATTCCAGCAGGCTGACATCATGGTACATTTGCCATAGTCTTAACAGAAAAACAAGCAACTCTATTTAGTAGAGCCCCGTGAGTCATGGCAGGCTGGCTAAAGCTGCACAAATAATTTGACATTCTATCTATTTACTTATCAGATTTACCTATTTTTTCTCCTAAAATTTTCCGTACTGCTCACAAGCCAGTATTTCACAAGGTGGCTTTCACTGAACTATATTTCAGCTGTACAGCTTTGTACTGACAGAGTCCAAAACAATGTTGGTACAGCGGAGAACCTGAAAGAGGCTTGAAAAGTACTGAATCATCAAACAGCATTATATGCCACTAGAAAAGCTTTTAATTGGTTTGAAATGGGAATTAAGGGAAGAAAGGAGTGAGGTGTTAACTAACAGACAGAACCTGCCCAGCTGAATGAGCAAGGCTGTAATGACTGAAAGTGCTTTGTAACAACACCTCATTGGATATGAGGTTGGTCACCCCAGGTTAGCTGTTACTGAAGAGCTGTTTTCCTTATAGAATGTACTGGTTTATTCTTGCAGCTGGTCTTAAGAAGAGAGAGGCAGGGAAAGCCAATGTTGAGAGGACATAGATATCAAATAAACACCTTTCTCTCTACCAAAACCTCCAATCCAGCTGGGATGCACTGATGGGCCAGTTGTGGAAGGCTTGCACTGCTATTCTCTGAGCTCTGTCACCCAGAGACAGATGTTGAAAGTACCAGTCCATGAAGAGGCTAAAAATCAAGATTGCTGTGGGTGTTCTGTACAAAGTAAGACTTTTTAAAAATTATTTTTAATTTATTTTTTTTTTACATTTTAGCCTGTTTGCTGAAACTAACTGGTGTGCATTTCATAATTATATAATAAAAACTTAATAAATATAAAAGCATGTAAAGAAATAAAGCAGCACTTTCAAAGACCTAAAAAGCATTTTGCTTACTGAACTAAAATATATATGCTACTGCTACCAATGAAAATGCTTTAGCATAGGTAAGGTAAGTACACACATGCAATACCTTTACTTGTAATTTAATTGAAGTCAGACAGATTTCACAGCTGGTAAAAATCAAACTCCAATCACTAAAATGAAACTATACTGGGTTACATTTGTTAAGAGCCTGCTCGGTTAACTCTTTGAATTTCTAATTTCAAAAGGAAATATGGTCCCTTTCTGAGGTTACTAGCAGTTTCTGCCATTTCCTTTAGAGTGACAAATTAATAGATTCTATTTCACACAAAGGGAATAAGGATCAGAAATCCTACGTTTCTTTACTTTGCACAGGTTCTATAGCCACAAGAATTAGCTTCAAAGGAATGCAAATTAGAAAGGCTTTCTGGGACACTTACTTGCAGGATTAATTTGTCTTCTGAACTCAAAGGGTAAGTTACGAGCTTGTTTCTTCACTGTTTATGTATTATATAGGCCCTTGAGGCAAAAGCTGTTTTGTGCTACCCCAGTTGATTTTTGTTTAATGGTTGTGCAAAAGACATGAGAAAGAAATCAAGCCTGGGATCAATAGTAATATTTGGAATTTATTTTTAGGAATTTGTTGCAACAACAGAAATCTCACTTTCTGAAAAGGCTGATACCTTATGATTTCCAGCTGCATAAGTTGGCAAGGACTTGTTAAAAATCCTATTATATTACCCCTATGGTGACTGTTAGGTAGTTTCTCACTATAATCCATTCCCACACTTAGCAACTGGGTGAATTTTGTGTCCTGTTTCAAGTCTGTTGTGTCCTCAGCTCTCTCCATATAGCTGTTAGATAAGTAAGTTTCTTAGGTCAAGAAGAAATGAAAACAATTAATTTAGGATACAACACTCAGTTTGTACATACCATTATAAATTCTCACATCCTCTTGAGTAACACTGGCATTTGCTCCCCAGACAACCAGCTTGTGGATAAGGGTTGGATACTTTGCAGCTGCAATGAGTGCTGTGATTCCACCATCACTCCACCCCAGCAAAGAGAACTTCTTAAACTTCAGTGCCTTGATTTGTACAAAAAAGTGATATGCAAATAATGAGCTAGTTTTACAATCAAATAGAAGATATTTCCTGGAGACTAACTGTACAGATTTAGACACAATGCTACATAGGTGAACTATAGTTACATTTAATAATTAGAAAATATTTTTCCTGCTATACATAAAAATATTTCAGAAGAGGTAAAATATTTAGAAAACAAGAAATTAGACATGCCTTTCATTTGCTAAAATTATTTAATGAAACAGGCAGTAGCTACATTAGATTCTTGAAATTAAGAAGTGTATATTTACAACAGAGAATAAAGACCTTTTGAGAGAGCCTGATGGTATCAAAGTGTTTGGATTCTCTTGGTATAAAGTTGACAAAGGCTCACAGTGTAGGATCCTAGGTAATCCAAACCACAATGAACTTAGGAAAAATAAAAGTTTAAAACTTGAAAAATGGAATCCAGTTATTTAATTTATTGATGTTAGCTGATTGAAAAAAACATCAACTCTACTCTGTAACAACCAAAGAATACTTAAAGTATTTGCTACAGGATTGTGCCCATTTCACATTTTCTGAAAGCTTTTAAGTGTACATTTTAAATGTTACTTCACAGTGAATTATAATTCAAAATATTAATAATTAAATTCCTCCTCCTCAAAAAGGAAGGCTCAGTGAAAAAAATATTACAACCAAGGCCTCAATTAATTCTGAATTGTACAATGCTTTCCTCTAGAATTTGAAACTCTTGTTTCCTCATATACCATGATCTGTGGTACCGGTATGGACAGAAGAGAGGATTTAGTGTGATTTTGTGTAATGTTTGGTGGGCAGAGGGTGGGAAAGGCAAAAGCACTCGAGAACAAATGTATTTGAAGGTTGCACAGGGGCAATATTCAATGGTTAAGCAGTATTTGCAGTTTTGCATACAGAAGCCTCAGTTTGTGAACTCTCATAAAAAACAAAGATTTTTAAGGGCTGTGAGGGGTTGTTTGTTTGTTTATTGGTGTTTGTTTGTTTGTTTTTCCCAGAAATATGTCATTATTGAAGGTATTTTACTTTTGGAGGAAAAAGCGCAAGCTAGTTGAATGAGTTGTTTTGGTATTTTGTTGTTGGAAGTCCATGCTTGCTTTCTTTGGACAGAAGAAAGCAAAAATGCAGGCAATGAGAGAAACTGCTGCAGAAAGAGAAGAGTTTCTAATCTGCTTGTGAACTCATGGCTCAAATGAGGCATAACTTTGCCAGCTAACTGAATACCTAGCAAAATTCTGTCACTATCAGGCTTTTCTGGTTTTGGCTTCTTCCTTGGTATTAGGCTCGCTGTAGTGTTGCTCAATATTAGATTACACTCTGCTAAACTGTAATTACTAAACAGAAAAGAAATAAGGTAGGGGAAAGAAAAGGATATGTAAAGTAAGAGCTGACAATAAGAAAACAGAACCTTGAATTTTAGCAGCTGATCACAAGCTGGCTCTGGCTGAAAAAGTAGTTACCTGTGACCAACTTTCAGTATCAGGCTGCTGAAGGGTTACTGGTGTCTTGGCAAACTTCAGGAGTTGAGCAGTGCTTGTAAAGCAGTGTTTTCAAATTATGGATCTCAGAGTTGGCTGATGGGTGGAATAGCTGGTCAGAAGTTTTGTTCTTCATGCCAGCTTATTTGCCAACGCTTCAGCTGAGATCTGTTCAGCCTCCAGTATTTCTCTTGTTTACTAGCCATTATCTTGATACATTCTTTGGGTTGTCTCAAGATGCCTTTCCAGCAAGAGGAATTTAATTTATCCTTGCAGCCTTCCAAAAAGCAATGTGACATAGCAGTTGTGCTGGCTATGGTATGCATGTGTGCTTGCTTTAGTCTTGCACTACTCGCAGTACAGCCTCTGTAATTCCATAATGATTGTTTTAATGCACTGGGCCCTTGCTATTGTTATATATTGGGATGGAGTGCAGCAAAATGGACTTATTTGCATTATCCTTTTATTTAAAAAAAACTCTTTCACAGAACCACACACAGAGCTGTGCCATCTGCATCAAGGGGTTAAATACTCCGCAGAATTTCAGCTTTGGTATTTCACAAAACTTTGCAGCACTCACAACTCCAGTAGACACTGGAATCCCAAGGAACCTAGAATAAAGGTTCTGAAGGAGCCTAAAATAAAGGTCCTGAAGGCTCAGATATGCAGATAGGTTTTCTGGCTGAGGGTAGGCTGGATGATGTATGCAATCTTTATATCATTATAAAGCCCTCTGCAGAAGTTATGACTTAAGTTTTATTCTGGAAATCCTAGTTTGGATGATTCCTTGAGATTTGTGCTATCCTTTATGTGTTATGCTAAAATAGAAGGAAGTTACTCATGCTTGGGAAGATTTTAATAATTTATTATTATATGCTTGTATCAATAAACATCTGAAAAAAAATAAAACAGGATGCTACAACTCATTTGTTTTGGCAGCTTTAGAGATGGGTAGGCTGCTGTTCTGTTAGACTAGACCCTATATGGTACATTCTACTTGGAGACAGCTCTTATTGTGTTTCTTAGTATTTGAACAGAGGCAGGAAAGGGGGTTACAACCATTTAGGCTGAAAGTCTGTCACCTATCCATGGCAGCATCTTTATTTTCTCTGTCGGTGTAGCAGAAGAAATTGGTGATTTACAGTGCAGAGAGAGATTGCTTTTATGGTTAGAGGGCAAAACTGTGCTTTAATCCTGATTCTGCTGTCAGACTTAGTTCATTTTGCTACACAGGAAGGCTGCATTTCTTGTTTCAAATGGGTTTCTGCAAGGTTACTGCTTATTACAGAAACATGGTTGGATTGACTGTCTGAATCTTGTCTCATATTTGTGGAATTTTAATGCTCTGCCAACTTCCTTACCATGGCTAAAGACACTGTGTAGCTTAAGATAACAAAGCCAAAATATCAGTTAAAACTAAACCAGAAAATAGTCTTAGCGCTTCATGGATGGAATAAAAGAGGAAACAGCAGCAGATTTTATAAATAAAAATTTCAGCAAGATGGGGAAGCAGTAGCAGCTTTAGGTCATATTCTTTATAACCACAATAGCTGAATTAGGTATTAGGATCTGATAGGATCACAGGAACCCTTCGATTTCACACACAAATTATTTCAGTAATATGCTGAAAAATGCCAAGCGTCAAGTTAATTTTTAGAATGAAATGTATATTGAAATGGGCTGCTCAAGGCAAAATGCCAAGATTCTATTAGCTAGAAAATTTTCTAAGAACCTTTCACTACTGTAATCCCTTCAGTTAAACCACTTAGCACAGACTTTTAAAATATAAACTTTAGGTAAACTTACACGATTCTTGGCTGCAAATCTCTTAAGGCAGGGTCTTGGAATAAAAACATATTGCTTTTTAATTAATTCCTGCTGCTGAGCCTCTATATATATAGCAGAAGAGATGGAAGAAGAAAGTCTGTTTCAGAATAGTGTGCATCTGGCCAGTTTTAAGCCTTTGTATGCTCTTTTGCATAACCTGCTGTCTGCTGGAAACAACCTGCTTAACAGGTTAACTCTTTTTTTCTTCTCAAAACCTAAGGAAAACAGCTTTTAAATATATTTAAAAATAAAAGCTCAGAACAGATTTACCTGCATAAGATCCACAGCATCTTTTGCATCCCTCTCAAAGAAATCTGGAGGAAAGTCTCGAGATGGAGGAATGGACTGTCCATATCCCCGAGGATCCCAAGCAACAATTGTGAAAAGTTGCTTGTTCATAGACTTCAGCTGTGGTCCAAAATCAGTTTGACCACTCCCTGAAACATCACAATTTTTCAAGTAAAGTAACCACTATATAACACATACATAGTATATATGCTCTAAAAGGCAACTGGAGAAAGTTTTGTCTTAAATCTGAACAAAGAAGTTATCCATCAACTAACTGAAGTGCATTTTATCTCTAATTGTAACTAACCATTGCAGCTCTCAGACAGGAAGTACCATGATAAAAATTGTTAGAACTACCTGCAAAATGGTCAGAGCAAACCATTTCTGGCAGGTAATTAAGCTTATAAAAATCTGTGCTCTACACAAATGCTTCAGTACAGAATCTTAAACTGAGTTACCTGGGCAGGTATTTATCCTGAACAGATTTAGAGCACTAGCATGGTCATTACTATTTATCTGGACAGCACAGATGAAACTGAAAGGCGAGAACTGTACTGACTCAAGCTATGAATTTGTAGGTGAAATGTCCTGTGTGAGACAGTTGATTGTACTTGATAAAACACTTCTATGAGAATACTGGTGCTTAAAGCTGAGCTCTAAATACTTCATTGCCTGAGGAGACAGTGGTGACAGAGAAGCATAAAACTATAAATTTTGATTTTTCTAAGATGTATGTTACCAAAATAAGTCAAATACAGCAATTTTCCTGATGCAGAACAGTTTCTTATATCGATTACTCAGACCTCCAAATGCTCCAGCCTATTGCACTAAGCTGTATATGAACACTAGCATGAAGGTAGGACTGCAGTTTACTTTGTAGTTGCATTATGGTCATGTGGTAACAGTATCACATGCTACTTGATTAAAACCTGTTCAGATCTATTGTATTACAGTCAAATTATGTAAATCAAATATCAGCTTGGTCATCCATCATTTCATTAAGAAGGCTGTTTAATGGCATTTAAGATTTGGTTTTGTTTATTTGGAGAAATACATCCTCAGATACCTCCTTCTATACCATCAGCTGGTCTACATGATAAAAGAGGCTGTATACAGCATGTTATGATGAGCATACTACAGCCTGGCATGGTTGCAACACCAATTAATAGCTGGATTCAGAAGCAAAATAGCATGTTGCTTGGAGAATACTCATGCAACCTGGTTAATATTAAGCATGTATTCTTACACAGGCTTTGTATGAACCTCTCCACCATCATGCACACACTTCTTATACTGTATTTTTTAACCTAAACAATAAAAAAGGCTGAGAGCATATCTGAATGTATTTTCTTGTTTTTCTTAGTATTTTTCTAGTTAGCAAGAGAAACAACACTTTTGTTTTAATGTAGTTTACAAATAGTCTAGAAACTAATTAATTCTACTGACATAAAAGCACTTCTCTTGCTGCCACAGCATTCTTATTAGTCTGCTAATACTGTAAGTAGTATACAATAATACTGAAAACTCAGTATTAAGGGAAGAAGTACGACAATGTAAAGCTCACCCTCCCAAGTTGCCCCAAAATATTAAAAGAAAAGCTTAATAATGGTAAAGATAGCAACCCTATTACTGTTCATAGTGATGCTAACTGAATAATAGCAATGTACACAATAGCCAAGTATAATAATAATATTATGACTGAAGAAATACATTATTCTACTTAAAAAGTTAGCATTGGCAACCGGATTACTTGTTTCAAAAGCTATTTAGAATGTGTAGGTGAAAATATAAGACTACTAAAGCTCCCTTAGCATGAAGTACTTCCACCCTCCCCCTGAGAATTCTTGAAAGCAAGAAACACTTCATGAAGATTTGAAAACACGGCTGCCAAGAAAAAAAAAATGCTTCCTGCTCTTTAGTTCTTGACATTCTATCATCTTGATCCAGCAATTCAGTTAAGCATAAGCTCAACTCTGAGCACAGTAATGGTTCTACTGACAGCTTGCCATGAACTGCTAGTCTGATTGGTTCTTTAGAACTGCAAGAAGCCAGGAAAAAAAAAGCCTGTGTTAATTTTACAAGGTTGTTATCAAAAGCAGTGATCTTGATGGACAGATACAACTTAGTAAGCAGAACCTGTTGTTAATCTCAGAAGAGCCACTGAGAATCTTAATGATGTTGTGCTGAATAACCAAAACATGAAAGTACATTTTTAAGCTAAAAGCAAGTCTCAACTATGCATTTTTAGCTATGATAATAAACTGCAAATGCTGCATTATGTCTATTAATTAAATCAGAATGCACCTAGTTTCTAAAAAGGAATGCATAATTCAGTCTGTATAACAAATATAGCTGACCTGATTTTTCCCTCCTGTTACTTTGCACCTTGTGTGTCTACTGGCCACCTGTGCTGGGCATTTACTTTGCACAGTTAAATCCAAAAGTGCAAGTGACTGTTCCACAAGTCAAGACATTGTATAGAAAGTGCCTGGTGTGGTAAGTGAAATAGTTACAAACAGTCAACTCACTGCAATAACTCTGCCTTTTCCTATCTGTTGTATGTGTTGAACATATTACAAAATAGTTTTGTGAACTCTAGCTTGAGACCAGATGGTGAAAGAGGTAGTTAATTTTCAAAGACACAGTCTCCAGACCTAGCATTCCGGGAAGCAGAAGAACTGCATGGCTTCCTCCTCCTGTCTGCTGATAATGCAGGTGGACTCCATTCACTAGGATTTTGGCAGATGTTATTGAAGTACTAGGGATGGGGGAAGGGGAGAGAAATAGAAAAACATTGAGACAGTTAATTCTTATCAATACATGTTCATTCAAGCAATACAGAATAATTACTTTTTCTAGATATTAATGACAATACAATGAGATTTAAATGCGAGATGTTCATGGGTACAGAAAAAACTACATAAAAAGCTTGACAGAGCAGAGAGGTATTTAGTTGTGAGCACTATGCAACATTTGTAATTAGTTTTCACAAATGTAGTTAAATGACTTCAGCTAAAGGGGAGAAAAAAATAATTCTAGACTGTACAAGAAGTAGAAGACAAAAGCAGCTTTACACATCTAGAGAAATGTGTTCAGATAAATGTATTAGAGAGGAGAAACCTCATTGTGTCAGAGCATAACTTTTGAGAGGGCTGGTATTCACCTTGTAATTACTAAACTGAGCCTCTCCATCTGGCAAAGAAACTATTGCTATGTTTCCTCATGAACCAGAGGGTCTACAATAAAAAACAACGTGCACTGAGATGAGAGGGGAGAAGAATGGGGGATAATCATGTATCTGTCAGTGTAATCTCAGCAGGAGACAATGCTTGATTGGAAAATACCACATGACCAAAACCACCCACCCATGAAATAATTACCACAGTAACTAACTGCATAGGCCTCCTCTTAGTCCTGACCCTCAAAACCCTACACTAACCCACAAAGCAAGACCTAAGTGTGAACAGGTAACCTGTAATACTTACTATTCTAGATACAAACATCTGTGAGAAATCAGACATAGCATAGATTGAAGGTATCTTCTTAACAGTATAAACCATTGCATCTGTTCTCCCAAGCAAATTCGTGCCGTAATGGTTGCAAGGCATCTTTTGAACAACCTGACTCATTTTATTTAAAGGTAATAATACAATGCAAATTTTGCCATTTGATTACCTAATGGTTAACCCATATTCACTGCATTTTTCAGTTTGCCTAAAGTATTCTTGGTCCATGAATGAAATGAACATTAATTTCACTTGCATACAGAAATGCTGTTTTCCAGTCTTAAGTGTAATAATCTCTATTGCATGATAGGTACTGGGCAACTTATTAAAAATTAATTTTAACATATCAATTCTGAATTACAGCACAAAAGCATAATTCCACCCTGTATAAAATTTTAAATGGTGGTGTAAAAGTAAAAAAATCTCTTAAACCCTTCTCAGAAGGAAAATGAGAATGAACAATAGCTTGAGAGCTCAGGTTCCCAGCAAATAAGTGGCGGTTGAAGCGCAGAACCTGTTCAACACAAACCCTTTTGGATTTTACATAAAACATTGGTTGACATAACACAACCAATCATGCCACATGCCTAAATGTACGCTCTGACTTTGCAGAAGAGGATCCACTCTTCCTACCTATGCATATGCAATTTGAGACCTGGAGAACAAATCTGTAGCAAAATTACAGCTCAAAGAAACTTACTGTGTCATTATAAGTTCAGTGAGTTTTGCTAAATTGCAGCCTTGCAGTACCTGGAATGGCCTACAGGAAAGCTGAGGAGGGACTTTTTACAAGGGCAGGTAATGATAGGACAAGAAGTAGTGGTTTTAAACTGGAAGAGGGGAGATTTAGGTTAGACATTAAGAATAAATTTTTCACTGTGAGAGTGGTGAGACACTGGCATGGGATGTCCCAAGAAGTTGTGGATGTCCCATCCCTGGCAGTGTTCAAGGCCAGGATGGATGGGGCTCTGAGCAACCTGGTGTAGTGGGAGATGTCCCTGTCCGTGGCAGGGGAGTTGTGACGAGATGATCTTTAAGGTCCCTTCCAACCCAAACCATTCTATGATTCTATGAAACATGATTCCAGTGATGAGTTTGTCTGTAATGTTAAGCCTTCTTTAAGTCCATATCTCACACCTGATGTAGATATAAACTGCACAGCTTGAATTCTGAATGTAGCATGTAGATGTTCTTAACCCCTTTCTTAATATCTGACTTCTGCTTTTTTCTAGTTATAAAGTGTTTTCTTGATAGACCATCTTTTGGTTTGTCATTAATTTCAACAGATTATTCTATCATAGTTCTCACCATAGCAAACGAGCACCTTGCTCTTTCTAATTTTATTGAAATAGGTGATTTTTTAAAAAATTTTGCTTCTAATCAGTAATAGCCAAAAATGTTTCAAGTTCTGAACAAAACTGAAGTAATAATTATCCTGTTACTTTTTTTAAAAAAAAAAGTTTACCAAATGTAGTAGACAAGGGATGTATATTCTGCTTTCCTCATTCAGACCCTAGATTTCTTTTTTTTCACAGTTCTACATTTTTTAGGATTAATTATTAACATGAGGGCTTGAGAATTTTGCTGAGTTTGTGACGCTTTTCTACCCTTGGATTGTGCTTCAGTGTAAAGTCCAGTGAAATCCAGGAGTTTCAAAAGTATTTTCAGTACTTTCCGGGCTAAGAAAAAACAAGTTTGTCTGCTTTTGCTTTGGTTTGGGTTTGTTTTGCTTTTGTTTTGTTGTTCCCTCTTACATGCTGAGAGGCTGTACTGGCACTGGCTATGCCTCAGTCAGGTTTGATCTTCCCCACACCAAGTTTTTGGGAGTCCGGAATCGCTTCCGTGTGCTTGTCAGCACGACGACTTCACTGCTGTCAAGTTCCCACAAGGATGGCATCCTCCCACCTGCTACCGTGATCAGAAATGATGCTAAAACCAAACAAACCCCCTGGGTTTGTGACTGCACCGGCGCAGTTAGGGCGCACAGCCCTGCGGGAGGCAGTGGGGACACACACACCGTCCCTGTTCACCGGGAGGACAGATGCGGAGCAGGGAGGACAGATGCGGAGCAGGCAGGCCCTGAGCTCTGCCCTGGGGAGGCCGCACTTCTCCCCCTGCTCTGCAGGAGGGAGCTCAACCTGGGAACTGCCCCTCTGCTCCAGCTGGGCCGCAGCACAGGCCGCTCGTCATCTGTGCGGGGGGGAAACACACGGTGTAGTACCTGTTTTGTTGCGGGACAAGCGGCGTTAGATGCACCCCGCGTTTGCCGCCCCCGGGGAACACCTGGGCGCGGTGCCGGAGCAGCGGGGCGGGGAAAGGAACCCGCACAGGGGGGGAGGAGCGGGGGCTGCGGGGAAGCTGCGAGGGGAAGGGCCCTTCCTTCCCTGCCCAACGGGACCCCTCCCCGCCCGGCCTGCCCCCCGGAGCCCTTCCCTGCTGCCCCGGGGACACCC